GGGATAGGGATAGGGATAGGGATAGGGATAGGGATAGGGATAGGGATAGGGATAGGGATAGGGATAGGGATAGGGATAGGGATAGAGATAGGGATAGGGATGGTGTGCATGGGGATGTGGATGGAGATGGGTGATGGAGACCGGGATGGGATGGGTGGGGAATGGATGAGGATAGCGGTGGGGCTCAGCCTTCCCTCACCATGGGGAAAAGCCACGGGAAAACCCTGCGGGAACCCTTGGGTGCACCCAAGGCCGGTTGCTCTATGTCAGCAGAACTCAGCTCTTGGCTGATCGGTGCCGTTCAATCCCCAGACCGATGGGGCACACGGCCGGAGGCGGTTGTCCGAGGTGACAGTTGCGGGGTCCCGGCAGCACCCCCCGGTTTTATGGGCCTCTCCTTCCCCTCCCTGCACCCCTCCCCGCTCGGGCCGGGGGTCCCCGCTTCCCGCCGCCCTCTGCCATTCGCTCTGCCCCGGACCAAACGGGCACTGCGTGCCGCGGCACCTCGGCTTTCCCAGCACGTTCGGTCGCCGCGCGCCCTTGGCTGCGCTGTTACGGCCCCCTCCGCCCCGCAGCGCCGGCGCACCGCATCCGCCCCGGGGCAGCGCTCGCAGCGCTCGGTCACCGAACCCCGGGCACTGCCGAGGGGCAGCTCGGTGGCACCACACTACGCCGAGGCGAGCCGGGTGAAACACCGTGGTGCGGGGCCCGGCCGAGCCGGGAGAAAGCCGGTGGCGCCGTGCAGGGCTACGCCGTGCCGAGCCGAGCCGAGCCGAGCCGGCGAAGCCCGGCCGCCCCCAGCAGAGCCGTCTCGCACCGTTCCGCGCCGGGCCGCCCCCTCCCCCCTCAGCCGGGGGCGGAGCCAGGGCGCGCGAACGGGGCGGGACTTCTCTCTGCCCCGCCCACAGAGGGGAGGGCGTTCCAATGGGCGCGCGGCGTCTCGCCCCGCCCCGCGGCGTCCGTCACGCCGTGCCATTGTTATGCAAATAAAAGCGGGCTAAAAGGCGCGCCGCGGGGCCGGCTCCGCTCCAGAGAGGCCCGGGCGCGGCGCGGCGGCGGAGCGCGGCGGAGGGGGCGGCGCGGAGCCGCTGTGCGCCCGCAGCCCGCAGCGCATGCCCGGCCGCGCGGGGTAGCGGCGGCGGGAGCGCCGTCGATGCGGGGCGAGAGGCTCGGCGGGGCCGCGGCAGCATGAGCCAGAGCGACGTGTCGCCGTGCGCGGCGCCGCCCAGCCAGCGCGTCTTCCAGGAGGCCGTGCGGCGCGGCAACACCAAGGAGCTGCAGTCGCTGCTGCAGAACATGACGAACTGCGAGTTCAACGTGAACTCCTTCGGGCCCGAGGGGCAGACGGCGCTGCACCAGTCCGTCATCGACGGCAACCTGGAGCTCGTCAAGCTGCTCGTCAAGTTCGGCGCCGACATCCGCCTGGCCAACCGCGACGGCTGGAGCGCGCTGCACATCGCCGCCTTCGGGGGCCACCAGGACATCGTGCTCTACCTGATCACCAAGGCCAAATACTCCGCCGGCGCGCGGTGATGCCGGGCCGCCCCCGACGCGTCGAAGCCGCTCGGACCGCGCGCTCCGTGCTTCCGCCCCGCCGCTCAGCCGCTTCCGAGTTCGTTGTTTGGTTCGGTTTGGTTTTCCTTCCGAGGGTTGTTTTCCTACTGTAATTTTTTTTTTCCGTCTACCTCGGCTGCACTCACAGTATTCACGGTTTCAGTTTGACGTCTGCTCAGATGCTTTAAAACCCTCCCGCCCCCCGGTGATATTTAATCCTCCTCCCCGACCCCTCACCCGTCCCTCGGTTTTAAAGCACTCTGCCGCAGAACGAGTTCATTTCAACACTCCGCCCCTCCCGTCCCCCCGGCGCTGTAGCACTGCAGGTGCCCCGGCCCGGCGGCTCCGGGCTGATCTCCTCCTGCGAGGTTTTTTTGGTTTTTATTTTTTTTCGGAGGCAACTCCATTGGATATGACAGACATGCCCTGCCTGGTTCTTTTTTTTTTTTTTTTTTTTCTTCCCCTTTTTAAGTTGTTTTTTTCTTTTTTTTTTTTTTTTCTTTTCCTTTGGGGGTGTCCGAAGAAAGGCTGCATCCTCAGCTGGTCCTTGAGTCCATTTAGCACACGTGAGACCACAGGAAAAGACATTGAATCCTTCCTCCCGGCGTCGTGCGTGCGTGTGTGTGTGAGAGGGGAGGGGGGGGGAGATCAGCAAATCCTGAACTTATTTTTTAATTAAAAAAAAAAATTAAAAAGGAAAAAAAAAAAAATAGGTGAAATAAACTGTAAGAGGCAGAGGATTTGCTTTGCACAGAAGAGGGGCGCGAGCGCTCTCTGCTGCCTCGAGAGGTGCCTGAAAACTACTGAGAAATAGTTTGGGAACTTTGGTTGTTCTTGGTTGTTCTTTTGGTGAAACTTGGATAACGCTTCTCAATGCAGAACGGTCCCTTTGTGCGTAGAGCCCGCCCGCCTTTTATATGGTGTGTGTGTATATATATATATATATATATATATATATATATATAT